GATTTATTTAATTTTTTAGTGAATTATTTTGTGTGACATTGTGTTGGAATTGAGCTGTGTTGTTTACCATACCGTTCATTTCGTAAATATAAGTATAGATGCCACACCTGTGACAGATAAAACTAAGCTTTTCTTGATGAAAAGCACCATCTGTTGCATGTAAGAGCAACACACATGGTATACTAGATATGTTACAATTCCATTTCAATGTTTCTGATTGCATTGATAGATTGAATTTTCATAGATTTTTATTTATTTTGATTTTGATTTAATTAATTTCTGTGAAATGCATTGGAATTGAGCTGTGTTGTTTACCAGACCGTTCATTTCGTGAGTATAATGCATTTTTATATTTTTTCATATTTTCATTTCAATTTTTAACAGTTTTTCTTATATTTCAGTGATGGGATCATCAGATCACTTGATGTTTCCAATTTTCTGATGGGAACATCAGACCATTTGGGACATCTTCGAGTGAGGGGGTGGGGAATAGGGGGCTGACGAGGGGACGGAATTGAGAGAAGGTGCGGAGGACGAGGGGACAATGGAAGGGGTAATGGTGGGGAAGGACGAGGGGACGGGGAAGTTTGGGATGGTGGAGACGAGGGAATGGGGGAATGGAGAATGGTGGGGAGGACAAAGGGACAGGGGAGTGGGGCATGGTGGGAAGGAAGTGGGGATAGTGGAGTGGGGAAATGTGGGGAGAACGAGGGGACGGTAGAGTGGGGAATGTGTGGGAGGCCGAGGAGACGGGTGAGGGGGGAATGGTTGGGAGGACTGGGGGACAGGGAAGGTGGCTGTGGTTCAGCAACACGTGGCCAGGTACTGCTTGTATTTAATAAATCAATAGAGTCAGGCAGAGTGCCAGAGTCAAGGAGGGCTGCTAATGTGGTAGAAATTTTTAAGAAAGGAGATAGATCACTTGTCTCAAACTATCGGCCAATTAGCCTAACGTCTATATTGTGGGAAAGTTACTCGAATCGATATTGCAAATGCAATTCGTCTTCATCTTGAAAACTTAAATTAATAAATGAGTCGCAACATGGTTTTACAAATGTCCGTTCATGTTTAAGAAATTTTCTGTCTTTTTATTCCAGCATAGTTGAGGCAGTTGATAGTGGTAAGGATTGTGGTGTTGTGTACCTTGACTTTAGCAAAGCTTTTGATACAGTACTACATAAAAGACTGATTAAAAAAATAGAGTCTCATGGTATTGGGGGTTCTATATTAAGTTGGATTAGGGCATGGCTATACCAAAGAGAACAGAGAGTTAGTATAAATGAGGTTAAGTCAGACTGGGAAGACTTTGTAAGTGGAGTGCCTCAAGGCTCTGTCTTGGGACCTCTGTTGTTTTTAATTTACATAAATGATTTAGATTCAGGTTTGAGGAGCAATATTTGCAAATTTGCCGTTGATACAAAAATCGGTAGGGAAATAAGAAAGGAAGAAGACTCACTATCACTTCAATTTGATCTAAATAGGGTTTTGAAATGGTCAAAAGATTGGCATATGCAGTTTAATGCTGATAAATGTAAAGTTCTAAGGCTAGGTAATGATCATAGTGTTACAAGATACGAACTAGATGGTGTTGAGATTGTAAAATCAGATTGCGCAAGGAATCTGAGAGTTATGATTAGTAAGAAATTAAAACCAAACGATCAATGCATGAATGTTCGTAATAAGGCAAATTGAATTTGATTTATTAATCGAAGCGTTAGAAACAAGACACCTGGTGTTGTTCTTCAGCTATATCTTGCTTTGGTTAGGCCACATTTTGATTATGCAGTTCAGTTTTGGTCGCCGTACTATGGAATGGATATAAATTCACTTGAACGTGTCCAGCGTAGGATGACTAAGTTAATTCCCCAAATTAGAGATCTTTCATATGAAGAGAGATTAACGGAACTTAACTGGAAAGGCGAAGAGTTAAGGTGACATGATAGAGGTTTACAAGTGGATGAATGACCATAACAAAGGGGATATTAATAGGGTATTAAAAGTATCAACACAAAACAGAACACGAAACAATGGGTATAAATTGGATAAGTTTAGATTTAGGAAAGGCAGTCAGGCGCAGTCACAGTGAGAGGTTGTGTTAGCTGGAGCTCCGATTATAGTAATTTTATTATAGCAATAATGGAAGGATTAGTGAAGGAACTGATGAATCTAGATATAACTCTGAGAGGAGAGATAGATTAAGAGGTACGACAGCTGAAACATCAAGAAGAAACGAAGGAGGAGACCAATATTAAAAAGACCTCGTCGTGGTAAGTCGTAAAGGACAGGGGACTTAAGAAGACCTTGACAAGGCCGCCTACAGACGCTCTAAGGACTTCAAATTCATTTTCCGTGTTGGAAGATGAGTGCTGTGGTGAGCCTGCAGTTCACTCGAAAGGGAAATCAACGAAGAACAACGAAGCACAGGCTCCTCATAGTGCTCAGAAAGTTAAGGAGGCATCTAAGTGAATTTTGGTTGTGGGAGGCCTTCTGCAGTTACCATTATTATTATATTTAATCTCTTCCTCCCACTCTAGCTGAAAATTTCTGTTTTCATCTTAATATTTTCGTTTCTTACAATTTGTTGAAGCCATCTTTATGCACAACGTTTTCACAGGCACTTTCAATAAGATTTATATATGAAGTATACCAGCGAGGCCTGCACAGTTGTTGTTGCTGTTTTAGATTCAGCTAATCAAAACAAAAAGTTCCAAGCATCGCGGGGTATGGTGAGCCAGTAAGTGCAGATTCTTTGGAGCCATTATCTGTACCAATAGCTGATACTGGAGACCTGGTGGGCTGGTTGTGCCAGTAAAGGAGCTGGTGAGTTAGTGTAGACCTCTAGGCTTTCCGTTCTTCTCTTTGACTGAGACTTGCTGCGAGTTGACATGTCCGTGCTGTCGTCGAAGTTCGGTGAAGTGGCCTCCATGAGAAGGGCTGGTATCGAGTAGGTGTGGTATTTGTACAGCGGCAGTGGAGCTCCTACTATGATTTCCTCGTCTGTAACATCCGTAAATGGTGGTTTTGTCTTTCGTCTCACAGCCTGAGGTAGACTCAGGTGTCGGGATTAGTGGTAGAAGCTATTTCAGGAGCGTTGGTGGTGCTGCTAGTGTTTGTAGACAGCACGTCTGCTAGCACGTCTGCTGAGATGGTGATGGTAGGAGTGTTGGGAGCTGGAGAGGGAAATACCTCTGTTTGTACCGCCCGGGTCTTGGGTGATTTTCAAGTCTGTGTTGAGGTCAACCTTGTGGTCAACCTTGTTGATGTCCCTTGTGTAGTATGGGGAGTAATAAGACTTGCGCCAGGGGGCTATGATGGGATCCAGGCCCATGGCTAAGTATGATGGGTTCAGTTCACTGGCGAAACGGTGGTTGTCTGGTCTGGCAAGCTTCTCCGCTAGTCCAATAAGACCAGGGATAATGCCTGCATGTGATGCAGGGGGCTGCAAAAGAGCCTGTGGAACCTTGGGGTCCCTATTGTGAAGGCTGGGACGCCTGGTGGGAGGAGCTCCTATTTGGTAAAAATGGAAAATCTTCCGGTGGGTTGGTGAGAGCTGAGGTGGGTTGAGCGCCTGGGGTTCTGGTCGTGGAAGTAGAAAGGTTGTTTCTCTAGGCTTCGACCTGGGCCTTGATGTTTTCCTGTCGGTGGGGGCAGCGGTCGGAAAATGCCGGATGATCGCCACCGCATAGCAAGCAGCGATGGGTAGTTGCCTTGTATATGGAGTAGTGATGGCCCAGTGAGCACATGCTGCACTTCTGGACACGTTGTTGACATATGTTGGTGGGGTGGGAGAGCTTGTAACACTTGAAGCACTGTTGAAGCTCTTGGTATTGTTCCTCTCTGACTTGGTGAGGTGGTATCTATAGGCCGAAGCAGAAGAAACAATGTATTCACCTAATAGTATTCACCGAGTTGTGCTTGCGGGGGTTCAGCTCTAGCTCTGTTCGGCCCGCCTCTGTATGGCAGTCTGGGTAGCCGCTGGTAATGAGGTGAAAATTACCTTATTAATTGTTGTTTTATCATCGCTGCAGAACAGCAATTCGAATATGCCCAGGGATGGGGTTTCGTTCTCGATGTAGTGAATGATCTTACTTTCTTTTCGGTCAGCAGTTATCCATTAGCTAACCCTGCTGAGATTTTTTTTTGTTTCTGCTAGGAACTGCTTTGGGTGATACAGAATGAGGTGCTGATGCGTGCAAAGTGGGAGTTCGTAGCCAGGAGTTTTTTCAAGTGTTTAGCACATGAAAAGAAGAGAAAGACATCCTAACGTTCATGACTAATGTCAATGGGTGTGATGCCGATCTTTTTGGATCTTTAGAATGTCACTCTTTCCAAAGGCGTGACCATCAGGGGGTTAGCCCTGACTTTATACCATTTGGGACGCATTGTGTCCACCTGGGGGATTCAGCTGATGGCGAGGAGTGATGCTGCTCTGCAGGAAACTCGGTTGGGTGGGGGGGGGGGGGGGTGAACGTGGTCTGCACAGTTCATCATCTGTACTTATACTGATCTTCTTCCCTAGATTGATTGATTGATAAAGATTAAGCCACTCTAAAGGTGGCACGAGCATGAATAGGCCGTAAGTGGAGGCTCTTTCTAGCCATTCGTTCCCTAGGCATCACAACTTTTTATAAAGCCACACGTTTCTTGCTATGAACTCGGGTTGAAATTTTCAGTCTATTCGAGTTTCAAGAATTTTTCACAGGATCATATTTAAGGTCAAAGAGCCGCATGTGGGTCGCAGACACAAGTTTGGTCACCCCTAGCATAGACTAAATTATTATATTCTTTAGTTATGTTTTGCCTACTGAGTCGCAATCATCTTCCAAGATATTTTGGGCTATTTAAGGTGTGATGTTATTCCCCTGTGACAAATACAGCAGTTGTGTTTAGAACATCACTCACTATTTTGAAAACAAAATGATATATATCACTTTTAAAAAATTTATATTATGTCAACGTTGGATTCCTTTCTTTCTCTGTATAGTGAGGATAAGGCATCAGCCACCTCTACTTTGCGAGGTAGTGGAGGGAAGAAATGGACGTGACAGGAGCGGCGCTGCTGCTACTTTTCGGCACGGCTACAGTGCTCGTGGTTGGAGACAAGCTGCCACAATATCGTAAGCCGCTGCACTATCGTAACTGCTCGCTCTGTCATAACCAATTGTACTGTTGAAAGCTGCTACTCTGTTGTAACCTACCACGCTGTCGCATATTGTCACACAGTAGTAAGTTGCCGCATTCTAGTAAGATGCTGCACTATAGTAAGCTGCTGCACTATAGTAAGCTGCTGCACTATAGTAAGCTGCTGCACTATAGTAAGCTGCTGCACTATAGTAAGCTGCTGCACTATAGTAAGCTGCTGCACTACAGTAAGCTGCTGCACTATAGTAAGCTGCTGCACTATAGTAAGCTGCAGCACTACAGTAAGATACTGCACTATAGTAAGCTACTGCACTATAGTAAGCTGCTTCACTATAGTAAGCTGCTGTACTATAGTAAGCTGCTGCACTATAGTAAGCTGCTGCACAACAGTAAGCTGCTGCACTATAGTAAGCTGCTGCACTATAGTAAGCTGCAGCACTACAGTAAGATACTGCACTATAGTAAGCTGCTGCACTACAGTAAGCTGCTGCACTACAGTAAGCTGCTGCACTATAGTAAGCTGCAGCACTACAGTAAGATACTGCACTATAGTAAGCTGATGCACTACAGTAAGCTGCTGCACTACAGTAAGCTGCTGCACTATAGTAAGCTGCTGCACTATAGTAAGCTGCAGCACTACAGTAAGATACTGCACTATAGTAAGCTACTGCACTATAGTAAGCTACTGCACTATAGTAAGCTGCTGCACAATAGTAAGCTGCTGCACTATAGTAAGCTGCTGCACTATAGTAAGCTACTGCACTATAGTAAGCTACTGCACTATAGTAAGCTGCTGCACAATAGTAAGCTGCTGCACTATAGTAAGCTGCTACACTATAGTAAGCTACTGCTCTATAGTAAGCTGCTACACTATAGTAAGCTGCTGCACTATAGTAAGCTGCTGCACTATAGTAAGCTACTACACTATAGTAAGCTGCTAAATTATAGTAAGCTGCTAAATTATAGTAAGCTGCTACACTATAGTAAGCTGCTGCACTATAGTAACCTGCTGCACTATAGTAAGCTACTGCACTATAGTAAGCTACTGCACTATAGTAAGCTGCTACACTATAGTAAGCTGCTGCACTATAGTAAGCTGCTGCACTATAGTAAGCTACTACACTATAGTAAGCTGCTAAATTATAGTAAGCTGCTAAATTACAGTAAGCTGCTGCACTATAGTAAGCTACTGCACTATAGTAAGCTGCTACACTATAGTAAGCTGCTGCACTATAGTAAGCTGCTGCACTATAGTAAGCTGCTGCACTATAGTAAGCTGCTAAATTATAGTAAGCTGCTAAATTATAGTAAGCTGCTGCACTATAGTAAGCTGCTGCACAATAGTAAGCTGCTACACTATAGTAAGCTACTGCACTATAGTAAGCTGCTGCACTATAGTAAGCTGCTGCACTATAGTAAGCTGCTGCACCATAGTAAGCTCCGCACTATAGTAAGCTGCTGCACTATAGTAAGCTGCTGCACTATAGTAAGCTGCTGCACCATAGTAAGCTCCGCACTATAGTAAGCTGCTGCACTATAGTAAGCTGCTACACTATAGTAAGCTGGTGCACTATAGTAAGCTGCTGCACTATAGTCAGCTGCTAAATTATAGTAAGCTGCTGCACTATAGTAAGCTGCTACACAATAGTAAGCTGCTGCACTATAGTAAGCTGCTGCACTATAGTAAGCTGCTGCACAATAGTAAGCTGCTGCACTATAGTAAGCTACTGCACTATAGTAAGCTGCTACACTATAGTAAGCTGCTGCACTATAGTAAGCTGCTAAATTATAGTAAGCTGCTGCACTATAGTAAGCTACTGCACTATAGTAAGCTGCTACACTATAGTAAGCTGCTGCACTATAGTAAGCTGCTAAATTATAGTAAGCTGCTGCACTATAGTAAGCTGCTACACAATAGTAAGCTGCTACACTATAGTAAGCTGCTGCACTATAGTAAGCTGCTACACTATAGTAAGCTACTGCACTATAGTAAGCTGCTGCACTATAGTAAGCTGCTGCACTATAGTAAGCTGCTACACTATAGTAAGCTGCTACACTATAGTAAGCTGCTGCACTATAGTAAGCTGCTAAATTATAGTAAGCTACTGCACTATAGTAAGCTGCTAAATTATAGTAAGCTGCTGCACTATAGTAAGCTGCTACACAATAGTAAGCTGCTACACTATAGTAAGCTGCTGCACTATAGTAAGCTGCTGCACTATAGTAATCTACAGCACTATAGCAAGCTGCTGCACTATAGTAAGCTGCTGCACTATAGTAAGCTACAGCACTATAGTAAGCTGCTGCACTATAGTAAGCTGCTGCACTATAGTAAGCTGCTGCACTATAGTAAGCTGCTGCACTATAGTAAGCTACTGCACTATAGTAAGCTGCTGCACTATAGTAAGCTCCTGCACTATAGTAAGCTGCTGCACTATAGTAAGCTGCTGCACTATAGTAAGCTGCTGCACTATAGTAAGCTGCTGCACTATAGTAAGCTGCTACACTATAGTAAGCTGCTACACTATAGTAAGCTGCTGCACAATAGTAAGCTGCTGCACTATAGTAAGCTGCTGCACAATAGTAAGCTGCTGCACTATAGTAAGCTGCTACACTATAGTAAGCTGCTGCACTATAGTAAGCTGCTACACTATAGTAAGCTGCTGCACTATAGTAAGCTGCTACACTATAGTAAGCTGCTACACTATAGTAAGCTGCTGCACAATAGTAAGCTGCTGCACTATAGTAAGCTGCTGCACTATAGTAAGCTGCTGCACTATAGTAAGCTGCTGCACTGTAGTAAGCTGCTGCACAATAGTAAGCTGCTACACTATAGTAAGCTGCTACACTATAGTAAGCTGTAGAGTAGTCTCTCTCCACAGTGAGAGGTTGTGTTAGCTGGAGCTCCGATTGTTGTAACATTATTATTGCAATAATGGAAGGATTAGTGAAGGATTTGGTGAGTCTGGTTAGAGCTCTGAGAGCAGAGATGGATTCCCTGCGGGAGGAGGTACGACGGCTGAGACTTCAGGAGGAAATGAAGGAGGAGGCCAGTGTTGACGGAACCTCATTGTGGAGAGTCGTGAAGGACAGGGGTCTTGAGAAGACCTTGACAAGGCCGCCTACAGACGCCCAAAGGACAGCAAATTCATTTGCCGTGTTGGAGGACGAGTGCTGTGGTGAGCCTGCAGTTCACTCAGAATGGAAACCAGCGAGGAGCGGCGGAGTGCAGGCCCCTCAGGCTGCTCAGAAAGTTAAGGAGGTACCGAAGCGAATTTTGGTTGTGGGAGATTCCCAGGTGAGGTATTTAGAGATAACGTTTTGTGCCAGAGATAGGGGGAACAGATTAAGGGTTTGCTATCCGGGAGCTGGAATTGGTGATATTGTTGGAAACATGAATGATATTATGACGAGAAATGGGAACAAACCAATTATTTGTATTTGTGCAGGGGATAATGATATTGGGCGAGTTAGGAGTGAGGAACTAATACAGAGATTCAGGACAGCCATTGAATTAGTTAGGAGCATGGGAGGAATCCCGATCAATTGTGGCATTCTTCCAAGAAAGGGAGTGGGAAATGAATGAATGTCGAGGGCACTTGGTGTCAATTGCCGGCTGGAAAGATATTGCAAATCAAATGCAATATCTTTCATAGACAACTGGGAACACTTCTATGGAAGAAATGAAATGTATGCTCGTGATGGGGTGCATCAATCCAGGGCTGGGGTTGTTGCTGTTGCGAACTCGTTGGAACCAGTGGTTAGAGGTGTTTGTTTGGGTTTAAACTGTTAGTAGATAGTGGTATGGGAATTGATTTGGAGGAAGGAGGTAATAAAAGTATGTGTTCGTGGGAGAAAAGAATTGGCCAAATGATCAGGGAAAGAAAAGGGCCTCAAAATAACAATTCACTTAGGGTATATTACACTAACAGTAGAAGTCTAAGAAATAAAATTAACGAATTAAATGCTCTTGTCTGCACAGAAAAAATAGATATTATTGCACTTACCGAAACGTGGATGCATGTAGAAAATAGAGAACTATTAGCTGAATATCAAATAAATGGATTTAAACTATTTCACACAGATAGATATATTAGACGAGGAGGGGGAGTGGCCATATATGTTAGGGACAATTTGAAATGTAGTCTCAAAGAGGGAATCAAAACTGAGCCACACACAGAAACTATTTGGATAGAATTATACGAAAAATCAAATAATATTATAATAGGAGTTATATATAGGCCACCAAATTTAGACAGAATGGAAGCAAAGCATCTATCGGATGAAATATCTAGGGCATCTAGATCTAACAGTATTTACGTCATGGGTGACTTTAATTTTAGTGGAATAAACTGGGTGAACAAAACAGGGAATAGTGAAGCAGAAGATTTTCTAGAATTAATTGACGATTGCTTTCTTACGCAACACATTAAGGAACCAACACGGGAAAATAATATTTTAGATTTAGTGTTAACTAACAGGGAAACACAAGTTAATGACATCGAAATAGGGAGTGAGCTAGGGAACAGTGATCACAAAGAAATCAGATTTAGCATAAAATGGAATAGACCTGTAGGAGAAAATTCTGTTAAAGTGCCAGATTTTCGAAAAGCTGATTTTAATAGCCTAACAAATGTTTTGGGTCAAATTGATTGGAAAGTCTTGGGTGTGGGGTGGGGGCCGGTCTTGGAGCGAGACATGGGCCCGGCGATGGGTGACGTGGACGGAGATTTCGATGTGGATTCAATATATAACTTGTTTAGGAATATTCTAAACAAAGCACAGGAACGTAATATACAATACAATTGAATAGATCGAATACCAATGACCCAAAGTGGATAACAAAGAATTTGAAGAACCTTATAGGTAAAAAGAGAGCTTGGTACAAAAGGATTAAAATGGGGAGGTCACTTTAGAACAGGAATTCGTACAACTGGTTAGAAATGTTAAAAAAGAGATAAGGTAAGAAAAAAGA